ATCATGGTTAGATCAAAAACCCTTAGAACGGCAAATTTAGCCAGCTTTGCAAACATTATTAATGCCAGTCACACCTTCCCTTCCCTCTAACGTTAATAGGCGTGACCGACACTCATATCGTATGCAAGGACGGCTGGTGCTAATTTTATTGTGTTCTTTTGTATCTATTTGACTTTATAAAATGTTTGATATATAACGCGCGCTCTGATTGGCTGACGACCGTGATTACATCAGAGGACAGAGACACGTCTTACCGGCAAAATGTTCTTTTCGCTCGAAAAATTTTATAAAAGAAATATAAAATGGCGCTTGTGTCTCTGTCCTCTTATATAAACACGTTGGGAGTTGAAAAAAACTCGAGAAGCAAGAGAAACACTCGCTACGCTCGTGTTCCTAAGCTTGCTTCTCTCGTGTTTTTCGAACTCCCACCGTGTTTATATTAGCCTGTAAGCAGGCTATGTTTATATCAGAGGACAGAGACACGCGCGCCGTTTTATATTTCTTAAATAACACCTATAGAGGTAGATTCTTTTGTATCTATCTTGCCTCTTTTATATTATATATATAATTAGCTCTACACTATATGTGTGTTGAGCACTCTTTAATGGGATCAGATACTTCCTCATATGATTATCTATTTGACTATAACACCTATAGAAGTAGATTCTTTTCACGGGTTAATGACCTCACTCTAAAGGCCTGTTTACACAAATTTGCAGCGCGATAATCACCACTTTGCGATCGCGCAACTAAAATCGTACGTGTAAACAGCCCTGCGATTGTTGCGACGATGGAAAATCGCCGCGAAGTTGCGGCCATGCCAATTTTCAATCATGTTCGAAACTCAGGCAATGGTCGCGCGACGATCGCCGCGACAATCGATATGCAAAAATCGCAAGTGTAAACGGGCCTTATATGAAGCAATCGCTGAAATAGTATTACAAGGTATTCTTTCTGTGAATGTCAGAGTCGTCAGTTTTTCCTTTGTTTAAGGCAGGTTTTGCATTTCTGTTATAGCAGAGCGTGAACTTGGCAACTGCATGTATTTCACTTTAAATATTTCTTTTTCATGTTGCTGTGTGCACGAACACCTGTAGTTTTGCCATTTTTCGAGAACTTCTTTGTATACAGTGATAATCTTATAGTTAGACCGCTTTTTTATTATTTCCTAAAAATCTATTGTCAACAAGCTGAATTATCTCGCAAAGTGACATCTGACATACCCTTTTGTTGTAGATGTTACAAAAATGTTTGGGTTTTGAGGATGAACATCCAAGCATTTTATCGATCTGTCATGGACTTGATACGAAGAACAGTTACTGTAGAAAACAAGACCAAAGAAACAATATTAGCGACGAAGGGGGTTCGTAAATAAGGAAAGAGAATGGGTKAAAAATGACAAAATGAATGAAAATATCAACACATTTATGACATGTCAGTGAAATATGATTGMCACAGTGAAATATGAGCAATTTATGAGATTGCTGTTAATATCGTTAGAACTGGACGTTGTGGAAGACCCCCTTTCGTAACGCAATTTCTCAATTATTAAATAATAATAATAATAATAAAACGCAATGTACTGTAGTTGTGATATGTCATCTCCCGAAGACGACCTCCACGCAGGATGTCAAAAGTCAGGTAACTATAATAGTCTTTCTCAAGACTTGATGGGGCAGGGGCACTCCTTTTTTCAAGACTTCCGGGATCTTTTAGGTGTCTTTTTGGAAATTTCTGACGAGCATCGCCGGTACTTTTACCCCGGAGTCCCCCCAGGAAGATACACACACACCCGGAAGATCATATCACACCTACATAACTTACACTTGAGTACAAATCATTCACTCTAATAATGAAAGTGTTGACATCCATAATGTGTTTACCTTTTGCGAGTTCTATAATCTACAACATATACTTGTCCATCCCCAGTGGATGCTAGTAAAGTGTTAGAGCTCGTTGTACCAAATGCCATGTAAGTAAAATATGTTTCATGTTCATCAATGGCGAAAACCTACAAACCGTTAACAAATAACAAATCAATGATGGGTCAAAGCAAAGATCTTTTTTCAGAGAGTGATGAAATGAGTGCACCTAACGACGTGGTGTACGCCACATAATGGTCACAAAGGAGGTACAGGATAGGTGAGAGTATTGAATAAAAGATAAATAAAGAATACAAGATCTCATGAAGGGATTTGTCCCCCCTGGCACCAACCAGTTGGATTTACATCTACAGGGGGATGCTCATAACATCATAAATTGACAAAATCATATTCCTTATTGTGAAAAAAAAAACAGACCATGCACAAGCCAATCAAAGTGGACACTGTTAGGGAAACTTTTACCAAAAAGTACAAAGACTGCATATCATACCTCATCAAATACAGTTTTACCGAAGTCAGCACTTTTTATTAGACCATCATAGCTACAGGTAAACAGCTTATTTCTGTCRTTAGGTTCCATTGCCATAGAAACTATGGGACTTGTATGAGGTTCATATACAAACACATTGCTTTCCACCTCTGAACCCTGGCAAATCAAAAGTCAAAGAAGCTTACTGTGAGAATATCAGTCATTAGTATAAACATACTAATGGTCTATCACTCATACTGCACTGTGATTGGCTACTCTACTAATGGTCTATCACTCATACTGCACTGTGATTGGCTACTCTACTAATGGTCTAATTTGTGATAGACCACTCGCGGGAAAATCAAAATAAATAAATTATAAATTATTTTAAGGATATTTCAATTTGTTTTCATTATCAGTATGTTTATACTAAAACAATTAGACCTCTCTGCCTCATGGACTACGAGCTAATAGCCCATGAGGCCTCTCGGACTCGGCCTGATGGGCTATTAGCTCGTAGTCCACTTGACCTTGAGGTCTAATTGTTAAGTATAGAAAGAGCAAAGAGCATTGCAGTAGAGAGGTTTTTTAGTTTGACACACCTGTAATGTATAACACTTTCTGTCACAAAGAAGGCAGAAATGACATAATAAATTGTTGAATAGTTTGGATGATAAAATATCAAATTACAAAGAAATAATCACATACAATGTCCCATAAACCAAGTTTTCCTCTTTTATCCCCGGCAAAGACAAGTGTCTTTGTTTCCATGCTRTGAAATTCTAGTGAAAATAYTCTATCAGGAACAGCTTTAGTAACATGATGTGTTTCAATCTTCATCTGAGCCATTAGCTTCTTGTACCTAAATAGTTTAGATAAATGATTCTCTCAGTGATTTTAGTTACTGCTTGATTGTGTAATAGTCTTCTTCACGGTTCCCTGCGCCATCTTGAAGGGTAGCCGTGCCTTAACATCGAAGTGAAACGAACGTTGAGCRTGCAATGACAGAAACCTTCTTGCACACCTACAGACCATTATTCACAGGTATCTATCATATTCATTGCATGCTCAACGGTTGTCTTTCTTGCTTCAATATAAAGGCAGGGCGACCTTTCAAGATGGCCCACGTAACCATGGAGACTATTGTCTCAGCATCTTATTAACAGTATTTTTTCAAAAAAAGTTGATAAAGAATATTCATTGGACATATGCTTCACCTTGAACAGTCTGCATTTTCACTCAGTTTGGACATTGAAAGTGATTTAGTTCTCTGCAATGAATACATTCAAGATCAAATAATTAGTATCACATGAAGACAAGATACAGTCCAACTGCAATACGGTTATGGCTGGACTGACGTCTTTACAGCATCAAGTAGATAGACTTGATATTGAATGTTCATAACAATTTGTCACTTTATGGGATTCCTGTGATCTGCATGTATACAGATGAGCCTAAAGTCAACAGTCTCTTCAGCCATTAGGTTAGAGATATAGTTTGTTCAAAAACCTTAATGAAAGTAATACACAAAGCATATTTCAGTGACATGATAAAATAYATGCATTGTACCTTGGCTGTGAGGTTGTCTAAACTAGTCAGTAGTGCTTTTGAATCTTCTTCAATTCCTTCACTTACRAGAATCATAGGGCATTGGCCCCTCTGCCTGGGCTATAAAAAAACATAATTGCATCATTAACAGATGGGATGTCTGATGCCTTAATAATAATAAAAAAATTGCCAACTTCCACCATAGAACCTTTGCAACTGTATATTTTGTTTTGAAAAAGATCTATAGTTGAAAGTTATTTCCTGATAGGTTCAAAATTTATTACATGAAGCACCTGAATTGATAATAATGTGCACATATCAAATAAAGTTAAGATCATAAACAGCACAAGATGGGTAAAAAAATTAAACTCAATTTTTTTTTCGTATATTTTTTCCATTAAGTGAGGATTAAGCGTGCAAAGGTTTTCAGTGGTCGACTTTTTAGGTGGCTTTAATTATAAAGAATGATACCTTATTCCATACAGGTGAAGTTAGTGCTRGTAAATCAGGTACAGCTGTCACTCCATCTGGTTCTAGTTTTCTTATTCTCAGAGATTGTCTTCTTGGGATTTCTTCTTTGGGCATTTTTTTCATTCTACAAGATGAACGTAAAAACTGCTTAGGATGACTGTTGCACCAAACCAAAAAAAAAAGGACTACAAATACCATCATGCTTTACTGCATGGTTTCACTGCATATTGCCCCACATTCTACATGCATGTACCTCTGACCTCATTGAGATGACCCTCTTTGGCATAGCATTCTCACATAGCTAACCACCACACATTATACAGAAAAAATACTCACTTWACAGTCTTGACTTTAGTTAATTGGGGAACTTTTGGTTTCTGAAGATCATTGCGAATCTACATTGGAGATATAACAAAAGTTTTGATATCATCCATATTAATATTTGAATTCAAATAAGCAATGACATTATATAACATACAAATTCTTTTTRATAACCAGCCTGAAAACAACTTAACAAGCTGGCATTGTAAAGTGATTGGAATTTTATTGTTTATTTTATTGCTGAATCTCATAGAAGACTGGAAGAATTGAAGACAGCATTGTCAATGAGTCTGAAAGATTTGTATCTGGAGACTGGGTCCAAAATCCTTCAACTTCCATATAATCCCATTCTTTTATCCAGATACTTCTCATTTCCCACCAGAAAATTGAAGGCTCTGTTTGAAAATGATATCGGAAATACCTGAAAACCCAAAGTCTGTGTTGCATGATACACTGGCATAGTGATGACACATAGAAATATTTCAGCTAATGAAATCAAAGCTGATTCCAACCGGCGAGAGAAGGATCTGGGTACGAGAATGAGGATTATCGGGGAGACCTACGTAGCACGCAGTTGATGTAATGTATTCATAAAATGTATTGTATTCCATTGTTTCTCGTTCTATTGTATTATGTGTTTTGTATTATATCTTTATGAATATATTACATCAACTGAGTGCTACGTAGGCTCTCCCGAGGATTATCCAGGAGAACTAAACAGCCCAGACTCTGCCGTGTTTTCTATAGATACTTTGTATTCTATTGATATGCATTGAGGTTTGTATTTCAAAACTGGAACATCCAAAACTGGACATCTCTTGGCCACACTTCTGTCTGGTCGCAGACCGCAGTGACTAGCGATCCATAAGTGATGTGGACTGTTCCTAGATATTCAGCTATGTTTGCATATTTTCTAGAATTACCTGTAAGATATTGAGCTCTACCAATAGTTCATTATTCCTGCGGATATTTTCCTGAATAGTCTGTTCATAAGAMGACAACCCTTTCGCATTAACTGTCGGTTCCTTGAACAGAAAATACATACACGGATAGCATGAGTTCATGCACACGGAAAATATAAAGCAGCTAAAAACTCACTTGCTTTAATCTTTTCTCCAACTGTTGGTCAGGAKATTGATCAGCTTTACGCTTAGGCATGGCGAGAAAACCCTGAAAGAACGCTAARCTGTCCCAAAGAATCAGCACTCGTATCAAATGTTACATAACAACTTTGTTGTTGAATGTTCCCGCCATATCAATAGACAGCTCACTACTTGACATGCGCARTTTTATATTGAGGGAGGGGAGGTAGCGTAGAGAATCGATAGTCCAAAAGTTAAGCGCTTTCTGGAAAATTAAGCATCTAAATGATATTTATTGTGCCCTTATGTCCGAAAAATTAGTGCATCTGCTTTGTAATAAATTAGAGAAATTACAGGGATATTTTAGATTTATTCCAAAGTATTTTTTATTTCCTTCCCCTCCCTACTCCGAAAAATAAACACAGGAGTCCCAATATGAGCTTTGTAGATCGAATGAGACCACTCGATCGCCGATAGTGACAAACCAGCCAATATATATAGTCTTTGGATTTTTGCAAAGATGTGAGGCTTGAAGAAGAGAAAAAGTTCGTTTTTCTCACAATGACTCGTAAAACCAAAGTACAGCCCTTTCGCCCAGAGCAAGAAAGAACTCCAACGCCAGATTATCCTAGCAAAACTACGTTCTACGTGAAATATTCGCTGTTCTTTCTCAATGTTCTCTTTTGGATCGTTAGTTGTTTGATCATCGCCATAGCTACGTATGCTATCCTTAATAAACAAGAACTTTATGGCAAACTCACTCAACTTGCAACGGATCCCGCGGTTCTTCTGGCTTGTGCTGGTGTTTTGATGTTTATCATTACTTTCTCTGGATGTTTGGGGTCTTTGAGAGAAAACATCTGTCTTCTTCGCTTCTACTCTGTTATGYTKGGTATGATGCTTCTTGTCGAAATCACGACTGCTGTCCTTGGTTATGTATACGCGACTAAAGTCCGTGAGCAAGTTCATAGTGCTGTGGATCATATGATTAAACGATATCGTGACGAYCCYGATCTTCAAAACATGATCGACCTCATTCAAACTGAGCTCAAGTGCTGTGGAAGTGCGTCGTACAAAGACTGGGAAATCAACGTTTACTTCAACTGCTCCTCACCTTCAGTGGAAAGATGTGGTGTGCCGTTTTCTTGCTGTATTTCCGATCAAATCAACTCTCAGTGTGGCTTCGGTGCCATCAAGAAAACCCAATCAGAAGCAGAGAAGGTGATCTACACGAAAGGTTGTGTTGTTGCAGCGGAAGAGTGGCTCAAAGCGAATCTCATCATGATCGCTTCAATAGCGGCCTCTCTGCCTGTTGTCCAAATCATTGGTTTTTGTTGTTCAAGAAGACTRACTGATGATATCAAGCAAATATTACAAAGATGATATGCTTACTAAATGCTCTAAAATCATTGAGCATTTTTACAATTTATGTGAAATATGTACAGAATGTTTTACTAAAGACCAGTACATATTTTCATGATTCCCTATTGTCTATCACTAATTGATTTATTTTGTTGTATTGGATCACTTAATAATCTATTGTTGTGAATATAAATACYAACATGGCTGAGGGATTATAGTAATTTATAATCCTAATTCATAGTGTGTTCTGTATTTAAAATTGTTCTTCATTTTTGAAAATTAATCATGATGGAAGCCATTTAAAATCTCATGTTTCATGAGGGAAATTTAGAA